TTAGTTTCCTCTGTTCTTGGTAATGACTTGGTGGAAGTACTTATAAATGTTCACATACTCCTCTCCAAAAAAGGCAAAGCATGGAACACATTCTACTGAAGAAAGCCAGATCAATTACTTGCTTTATATGTTAGCAGGCTGCTTTTACCCAAACCAATGCTGTTATGCTTCAAGAAGAGATTAAAAGAACATAAACGACATCCCAAACTCCACAGTGAGAACACAGCAAAGCTTACGCAAGCTCTGTGTTTCTATCTTGCGTGCCCAACGTCTCTACTTTGGAGAGCTTTCTCAACAAGTGACACCATATATGGTAATTCCTTATGAAAATCTCAAACTCTCACAGTATTTTGGGCCTTTCAAGGACATTTTTCTGACAGGACTCTTAGTTCCATAGTCTGCAAATGACAAAACCAGCACTTTGACTGACAGAAGATAACTAGAAGTTGCCCATTTTTATGTAAATGGATTACTGTTTTAAACAACTAGTAATTTAACAGATATACTTGGCTTTCTAGCAATGCTGGCCTGTTTTACCAAAACTTCAGAACTCCAACAGCACTATCTGCATTTTTACTATTAAAATGAGCAAAGATTAATACTTCAACATTTCTTTACTGAGGGAAAACAAACAAATAACCCTAACAAATAATATCAACAGAACCACTGGATTAGAAACCCATAGAAAACCATTTGTCAGTAAATGGGGTTGGGAACTGGAGCTTTCAACTGAAGCTTGCAACAGCAGCCTGCATCTTTTGCATACTTGTTCAAAACTGGATTATTATAGCCCATCTTTAATACCATCCAAGATTAATCCCTGTCCCTAGGTAGTTTTCATACTTTTTTGACAATTCTACCTACTGATCAGGTGAGAGAATTCATGCAAACCCTTCAGATATTCAGCAATGAGAGCAGTAAGAACAGAAGGTGAAGGTAACAATAGTACGCCCTGCTAGTGAAAAGAGCTTTCCTGTATTTTCAGCATCATTGGAATTACTTTTCCATTTGTACTATAGCAAAGATGGTCATCAGCATTTATAAGAAGTATCCCCTGCTGTGAATCAGAGAGGTTTCAATTTGAAGGGAGAGAAATCAAATTATAATGGTATTTCCTATCACAACCCTTATTTGCTTGGATCTAAAAGTGAGTATTTAATTTATCTTTGAAGAGACACTCAAAGATGAGACCAGAAAGTTCTACATCGCAGACCAAGCTTTGCATACTGTTAATAATAAACTCAGGCAAGAAAAATATTTTGCCAAAAACACAAAAGACACTTAAAACCTGTGAGATAAAAGCAACTATTTCATCTTAACCAAAATGAAAGTGACAGTAAAAATTGAAAAATCAGTGAGGGCTTTTTTGTTGTGAAAATTTAAGATGGATGCTGAACTGCTAAATGTATTGAAAAAAAGATAAATGAACTGATAAACAACACATGGACAGAATGGCATCTTTTTAAAGAGTTACAAAGCAGCAGGGTTTTTTTAGCTTGCAAAACTGTTGTATTTACTTTCATATGGTCAGTGCCTGCATTCTGCTTGGTTAATAAAGTACAGCAACAAGACTTACGACTTCCATATGCAATCTTAAAAAAAAATTGAAGTGTAGTGCACAAATAATAAACAGATGTTTTAAGCGTTCAAAGCTATAAGGGATACACATTTCAGAGTAAATTGAAGAAGCCACCTGAGGAAAGCAATTATTTAGGGGGGAAAAAGCAGTTATTTCTACTAATATTAAAGCAATAACCACTCTAACTGTTTATTCAGAGTGAAAAAAATGAAGAGAGTTTAGTCACCCTTATGATTCAACCTTGGCAGCCATTTAAGTGGCAACCATACTTATCACTGACAAATTTACTGATTTGCCAATGAAAATACCAAGTAATCGGTAACTTGGTTACTATATTACAAACCCAAGTCTTCAGAAAAATTATCTATAGAGGTCAAATTTTAAATAAGATGAGTTAGAACACTAAATCGGGCATAACCGGCAGGATTTGGTAGCGGGGCGCTGCAGGAATGACCCATGTGGCAGGAGGTTGTGAGCTGCCTTGTGCTGCTTGTGTAAGCAACTCGCTGTGTACCAAAACATCACCTGGCCAGGGGAGCTACAGCACTTCTGCCCAAAAGTATTTGAGAAAGAGCAGCAGTCATGAGGGGAAGGGTGGTGGCACACAGAGGGGACCCATCCCTGAAGGGCTGTGACCTGTGGGGAATCATGCTGCAGCGGAGGAAAACAAGGAGGAAGGAGCAGCAGAAGGAAAACATCACACAGGCAATCCCACCCCCTTGTGCCACCCGTTACCTCACCAACGGGGTTGGGATGCACAGCGTTAACGTGCAGTGAGAACAAGGGTAGCTCAGACTGGGAAAGGTGAGAGGAGAGGTGTTTGGTTGAAGCTGAGCCTGGAGAAGGCAGGGAAAAAGGCATTTTCTTAATTGTTTGGGGTCTTGTTTTCATCTTCTCAGTACCTGAAACAGTGATCTGAAGTTTTATGTTAATTGGCAAAAATTAAATTCAGTAACAACTCCCTGAGTCAAGATTGCTCGCCTGCAACATGTGTTGCAAAGTGGTCACCAGGAAGAGCACAGTATGTCATTTTAAAACATGTATTTTAAAAGGAAAATATACTTAGTATTTGCTTCACAAAAGACTACTACAAAAAATGGTCTGCACCATTGACGGCTATTGAAATATTAATAAGCAAAACAAGATCCGGCTAGTATCTATGCATGTGCAGGTCAATGAAGACGAATCAAGTTATAACCAACCCAGCCAGCAGGCATCATGCTATACTGATCAGGTATGGCTCAAGAAGCTGCTAACTTTTGTGCAAATACTTGAATTTTAGACTGACCACAGAAATATTTTTTTACGGACTGTTTCCACAATTCACAATTCCTAAAACTTACTTTTCACAACAACAACAAAAAAGCAAAATTTTGTATTTTTCTTGAACTTTCTCTCCAACTTCAGATTCCGTGAGGATCTGAGAAGGCTATCTATTGAACTACAGTTGCTCTGGGCGTATACCATAGCTATCCTATCCTCTGATGTGCAACGCAGAAGCAGTAAACCAGGCAGGTTTTTTTGACCAGAATAAAATTTTTTTTACTATATATTCTTTATGCAGACAGCACTGAAACCTGAGCATCTAATTTATGCAAAGCATCTCTATTTCTAGACACCACATAAAAATTCCAGAGTACTCAGTGTTCACTATAGATATATAATTTGAAAGTATTTTTATATGAAAATTATACATTTTATACTGTTGGCACAGAATACAGCTCATTTTCCCAGTTAAGAGCTGAATAACTACAGTATGCTTAAAACTATTTGCTTCGAATGTGCAAAAACAAGGCAACATTGGTTGACGATAGCCTAGGACATATTAAACTGCTAGCCTCTTTAGATTAATTTAAATGTTGTTCTCTAAAACAAAACAAAAAAACCCCACAGTTTTTGTCCTCACTAGCTCCAGGAAGCGTTAAGTGCTGCAGATGAAGTACCATCTCCATTCAACAGGTTAGCTTTATCTCCTGGATCTGGTATTTGCCTACACTGTTCTGACTTCACACCTGCTCTTACAAACATGCAGTTATATAGAAATTTGTGTCCCAAAATTACCTTACAGGTTATAAATACCCACTCTTACACTAATTAAATACAATGAGGCAGATCAAGCTGAAACTCCCTCCCTCCACCCCCTCATGCATCCCCCACTTCTTGACTAATCAGTTCTTTCTGGTACAATTTGAAAGTTATCCAGTTTTCCCTCTGGAGCATTCTTTAGCATCCCTACCAAAAACACGTGCTAAAAGAATCAGCTAGTCAAAGCACGATTTGCCTTTTTACACGCACAACATTGCAATTTCAAAAGCACTCATGCTGACTTTGCGGGATTTGTGCTACTATAGTATTAAGATTTTCATGATCTTCTAACCAACATCCCATCTTTGCTCTCTCTCTCCCTACGAGGCACCAGCTTCAAGGATTATTAAACAATCTTCCTCTCTTTACAGATGTAAGCTAGCTGTCTCACATTTACTGTCTCTGAGGTTGGGATCTTGTGAGTCCTGAGTCCTTTTAACAGTGCCTTGATGCTGGAAGCGGGAGTATTTCTGCTCCTTCACTACTGGCCACAGAAGTTCATTCCCGTGCGTTATTCACGCATGGATGATTGTCAGACCTGTGACCCAAGTTTAACTTACTACACCAGCAAAAACTGGACAGGCAGTTTTTCTTCTGGGTTACTTTTTCTGCCAGGTTATTTATTTGCATCAGCTTATGGAAGTGTCTGACAAGAGCCAAACCAACACAAAGGAGAGCTGCTATACTGGCTCACTGCCTCCTCAAACTGCATCTCCACTAAGTATTTGGAGGCTGCCTGATCACAACTGCTGAAGAAGCAGCTGTTATACTTGCCAAACAGAAGAACATCTGAACAAAGCTGTGCTGAAAGTTTGTAACATACGAATGTATCTTACTCATTTTTTTTTCCTTCATTTTTTATGGTACAAAATCCATTTAAAGCATATACAGAAAAACTTTTTATCTAAAGGGGATACTGTGGAAAAGAATGAAAACAAAATGCAGTACTTGGCAGAGTATGGCTTTTCCCCAGTCCCACTTATCTACTGAGCAAGTTCTGCATTAAATTAAAGGTGGTGGTAGGATATTGCTTGCTCCAAGTTCAAGCTGCTCACTCCCTGTATGCTTAAAGGACAGTCATCTCCTTACTATATTAAGACCTTCTAGTTGGTCACATGTTCTTAAAACCATAATAAACATAATAAAACTGAATAGGTACTGAAACATCAGATGCAATGACATTTATTTAAAATAATCCCTCAAGAATGGACAAAGTTGTTCTAAGTAATTGCTTATGTCTCAGAAATATTCAAGTCAGCTGCTCCCCCCCACAAAATTTTAAAGTTATAATTTTAAAGGAAGAGTGCAGAAGTTCACTATTCATTCAATTACTTACCTATCAAGATTTGACCCGTTTTCATTGCTGAACTACCTGGCACCAAGCCATGTACTACAAGCTTCTCTTCACCAGTTCCTCTGACAACTTTATCCTTCCTGCCTTGTTTTTCCGCTCTTCTGCTGCTCCATGAAGACTGATGGACAATCCCTACTAAGGCCTCCAGCAGCCTGTGCTGCTCATCTTCTCCAGCACTGTACAGTTTTCTGGGATTTACATAAATATACACATCTTTGTATTTTTGCTGAACAATGACACCCATTTTCTGAGCAGACTGGTGTTTCAATATGGAAGTAGGACCAGTGGAGTGCACATTACAGCTTCCACTGCCTTTCTTACCAGAATGCTTTGGTAAAAGATTCTTCTTTTTCAGTATTTTGGCCAATTTCTTCAGTTCATACTTTCTTTCTTTTCGTGATCCCTCTTGAATAACTTCAGCTTCATTTTCACGAAACCTGACATGATTCACTGCTGGCATTTCTGGACAGCTGTTCTGAAGCAGAATTTCTTCTTCACTGTCACTCAATTCTAAATAAAATAATTCCCCATTTTTCTGCACACCATCCAACCATTCAGGCTCAAGGTCACTGGGAAAGAAAGAAGAATGATCAGTGACAGCTCTGATAAGGACATCTGATTACTTCAAGCAGGGAGGGGATAGGGAGTGTGCAAGAAAAAAATAAAAGGAAAAAATCACGTTGCCTCCTGAATATAGAAAGGTCAACTGCTCTAAGTTTGCCATGAGGGTAAGAGCTCTTCTCAAATGATGGATATGGCAAGGACAGACATCCCTCCCAGATGTTAAAATAGTTTCTTCAAATGCCTTACAGGAAAACCACCATTGCAAAAAGCAATATTCCCTTTTCTGAACAAAAAACCCCACCCCCAAACCGTTACTTTCACATACAAGTTTTAATAAGTAACTAGATTCACAGGCACAATGGGGCTTTCTCTTAAGTGAAAAAATGCCATCCTATTTGTTCTCTCCCATTATTTTTTCCCTTATGTATTTATAAGGCAGATTGTACTGCAAGCCCTTTGGAAAGGCAAGGGTAACATTTTTAAAATCACTTCAATATAACAAAAAACCCCAGCCACGCCAAGACAAAAATCTAGGTAGCACTTTTTAAAAGACAAGTTCAAAACAGCATACTCAAGCTCACATGCAAAAATACACAACAACAAAGTAAAGAGGCAGCACTGCTGTAGAAAGAGTTCTAGCATCTGGAGTGGATCACCAAGTTGCTAGCAACAAGCTGCTGCAAGGAAAAGGCAAAGCAACTACAGGAGGTATTAACAGGAGTACCATCTGCACAGCACAAAAAATTTTTTGTCCTAATTTGGCAATGGCGATGTGTCAACCATGTCCAGTTTTGGATAGTACATTTTAAGAAAGATGTAATAACTGGAACAAGTCCAGAGACAAATAGTAAGTAGTTTATCAACATGTTTTAAAGGGAAA